TGTTGTGAAAATGATGTTTTGAGGAGATCAAAAAAAAGATCTGCATTTTAAGGGGTTTACTATTGTTTTTGAAACTTTAAAGAAAAGTATCTTGATATTTTACTATGCAAAGTGAGTATAGTTTCTAAGCCAAAAACGTTCTACATGAGGAGTTACATATAGCAATGGTATTAACTCAAGATGGCTTTTTTCACAACATGGTCCGTTTCTATTGAAAAGCCCCAAAATAAAAAAAAGTACCTCTGGTTAGTTATTAACACATATTCACATTTTGTCACCTTGGACTCTGTCAAAAAATAAATTGTTTTTCTAAAAAAAAATTAATCAATTTGCATCTGTCCTCCCAAAAAAAAAACCAATAGGATAAATAATTAATGTGTACATGCTTGTTGATCAAACAACAAACTTCTTTTTTCTTTTTTAATAAACATGCCAAAACAACAATGACAAAAAAAATGCAGTAAAGGAAAAAATGTAGAAAAAACATATGGGTAAGTGTTTTAAGAATGGTGGTGGTGGTTATTGCCCACCACTTGTCATTACTCTAGTTTATATATAAAGATTGGCAGTTATTGCAATCATTGCCACATGCCATCACACTAATTAGCTATATACTTTTTTTTTATTAGTGAAAATGATGATGAAAGGGTATTTATTCAATAAATTATTATTTTAGTATTCAATATTGTAAACACCACACCATTTGTTTAGTTTCATAATCATTTTTAAATAATTTGTGCATACCATTTATAATATTCATTAGATCCAAGAAAATTGTGAAGAAATAGATACTTCTGCAAGGGGACATAATAATGACTTCACAGTTTCCTCATTTGGTGTAGTAGTGAGCTCTAAACAAATATTTACATGAGACTATGTATTACAAAAAATGGAAATAAAGGAAAATTCTTTAAAGGATGTATGTTCACAAATGTTTTCTGGAACTGATAAACTTGTTTATTATATTTTCACTAATTACTGCATTTGGATAGTAGATTAATAATGGACACAATTTTTCAGATGATTTTCAGCAATTTTAGAAGTCAATTATTGAAAAGCTAAAAATTGATCCAGTTTTAAGTTATGTAACTGATATTGAGTCCATAATATAAGCCTTTAATACTTGATCCAATGAAATCGTTGTATTTTTTAATAGGATGTTCACATATCATTTTACTTATAATAGCACCTTATCAAGCATAATGGTATTAAGAAAGAACAAAAACCAATTTATGTTTTATGTACTGACTAAAGACTAATGCTGTAAATTATGATTATGGTAGTAATTGTATTTATGGCATATAAAAAGTGGTTGCAATTACCTTTGTGACCCCTTTTGCAACCATACTTTTTCCTTTTTTGGATTATGGCACTAGTCTTTAGTATTGACAATGAATGGCGAATGGCATTTCCTATAAATTCAAGATACCAGCCCTTATCCAAGTCATTGTATGTTCATATATGCAGGTAAATATATACATATACATCTTAATTCAATTGTTTTATATGCTATATTGGTTTAACATGCTGATTATTTGTAACATTTGTATTTAAATTATGAATTATGATTATCTTCTTGAATACATCATCATTTGTATCATTTGTATCCATCCAGATAAAGATAATTGCTTTAAATATTCCAAAGATGATTTTGAAAAAGATGTTCCTAATTATTCTGTTATTATAAAAGATGTTTCTGATAACAAATATATAATTTCATGTTATAAGTATGATAGATATAGTAAGCAATTATTAATAATTAATAATATTTTTATTATAATAACTAAATTCAAAAAAAACATGGTTTGTTGAATACATTTTGCCTTTGCAAAAATTTACTTGGAAGGTTCCACAATTTCTGTTATTAGCTCTCTTTAACCAAGTATATTGACATTAATATTAAACTTGTTTTCCATATATAGGTGGAAAACAAATCAAGTTCAAAAAGATAAAATCCTCCAAAAGTTAGCACCCCTACTTCAAAACAATTGAAAATCATTTTAAAAACTGTTAGGCGTTGTAAAAAGTGCTATAATAAACATGAACAATCATGTCAATTAGAATCTTCTTCCACAAAGACGTAAAACAAGTTCAATATCTTTAGGTTGGATAGTACATGATTAGCATGAATCGCTGCTAACTTACCATCTTCAAATAAATCAACTAAATATGCTTCTGAAGCCTATTTTAAGTATTAATAATAATTAGTATCCATTTAAAGTAATATGATAAACTTACTTGCAATGGAAGATGAAAGAAAGCTTTTTTTATTGATAGACAATAATAATAATCAGCCAATTTCCATTTTATTAATGAAAATAAAAATATTTTCAATTATGGAGAGGTTTTCTCAAATTACATTGATATTAAATATGCAAATAAAATGCGTGCATCTAACGCATATAAATACACTCTGTCAAATCCTTTTTAAAAGTTTTATCTTATCTTTTAATTAACGATTTGTTTAAAATGAATAATCATTCTCCAGCACCATTTTTATTATTATTATTATTATTATCGTTATTGACACTTTCGAATATTACAAATGTTTCCTCCTTTCCAGCACAACCAACTATAACTAGTTGTTACGATCATGACAAAAATGGAATAAAAAGAGTTGACTGTTTATTTGTTAAAGGAGAGCCAAAATCCATCAAAAATCAAGCTGGAGATGATAAAATGATTAAATTCAATATTACTTGTAATTTTCCAGAAAAACTAGGTTTTTGTGACAAAGTTACAAAAAACTTGGACATTACAGGGAAAATTATTTCTGATGTTATAAAATTTAGCGAACCTATCACCGTAGATATCGCTTTTAAATCACAAGAACCAACTTCATTAGGTAACAATACTAATAATAATTACAATTACAATTATTATGATTTTATAAAATTTAATTTTCATTTATTTATTTAGGTTTTGCAGGACCAACCAGATCAATTGGGTTGAAGGGTGGAGATGGAGTGGTCAGACTATACCCACAATCATTAGTAAAGCAATTCGGACTTGCAACACATCCGGAATTTTTGCCTTCTGACATAAATGCAGAGTTTAACTCCAATTATGAATATTGGTTTGAAGACGATGTAACTCCAATTAATCAAAATCAGACAGCATTTGTACTATTGACGACACACGAACTCATGCATGGCCTGGGATTTTTGTCATTATGGGATAACTATTTGTCACCGACAGAATTGGTACCACATATCAATTACATTGATGCTCCTACCCCTCCAGCAATAATATTTAATGGTTTTTTTGAGAGTATATTTGATAGGTTTTTGATAGTATCAGAAAGTGGCACACCATTATCCAGTTTCACAGCCGAATTAAATACTTTTGCAACAATAGGCACACAATTTGACTCATCTGATGATTTTATGGCCAAATTTAAAGCATCCCCTCAGTATGCAAAAGCGACTGAGATGTTAAAATATAGCACAACACCTTTATCATTGGCTTTCTTAGCAAAAGGCTTGGATTTTAAAACAATTGTACCAGATAAAACTGCTAATGATTCATTGTATTATTTGGAAACCAGTCTAGTACCTTACAAAACAGGGTCAAGTGGTAGTCACGTGAGTATAGATTTGTATGAAAAAACGAGCGAGTTCATAATGGTTTATCTGATACGTCCAGCAAGAGGAGTAAAGGATGCAATCAAAGATGGTGGTAATTATGTTGGGGGAGCAATTGGACCTAAACTTAAGTCAGTTTTTGAATCAATGGGCTACACGACTGCAGATAATCTAACTCCGGAAATCCCGACTGTGCCTGATGTGCCAGTAATTATGTAAAGAAAAATTCTTGTAAACAAATTTTATTTGTTATATTAATATTGACATTATTTATTAGAAGTTTTAAAATAAAATCTATTTTTTATTAAAATTAGAGAAAATCGAACAAAGAATTATATAAATAACATTTATTTCTTATATTCCGTTATTATTACCATTTAATTTTCACGTTATCGCTGCTGCTTTTAATCTATTTGAGATTATTACGTTTAAAATTTAGAAAAAGAAAGTTAAAGCTTTCAAAGAAACATTTCATAATTATAAATCTATTTTGATGAATTTATAATAAGAATGACAATGTTTGACAATATATCTATCTGTCCAGTATATTACTGTACTTATTACGACCTGATTATGACATTACGACCTATGACAATTTGAAAATAGACGTAATAGTGTATTCATCAAAAAAGAAAACAAAGAAAATTTTATTTGAATTAAAATTTATTCATTATTATTATTATACTTAATTAAAAAATTTACTCGAATTAAAATTATTCAAATTATTCGTTTTAACAAGATAATATAAGCAATAATTATATTTATAATCTATATTACTACTACTATTGTTGCTAGTAATATGACTTCAGAAAAGGAAAGAAAAATGTCAGC